CGAGTGAGGCCTTAGGAGGATTCTGAGGACGCGCATGGACTCGCCGAGTCACCCGAGTGCACTCGACGAGTCTGGTCAAAGTTGGACCGTTGACTGAGGTTGACTTTTAGGGTTTGTTCAACATTTGGACATTGGATCATTGGAGGGGTAAAATGGTCTTTTTCCCTTCTGGGAAATTATAGGAAGGGATTAGTCTAGCCTATGAGAATCGTTGTTAATTAGAGATAAATTACTTTATGTGATTAGGCGGAGGCTAGATCGGGGATATCGAGCACGAGAGTTTACTAGACATCATACGAGGTGAGTTTTCTCACTATACCTTACCTAGAGTGGTAATTATGTGTGACCGGAAGGTCTTATGTGCTATGACGAGTATGTGATATATGTTTCTATGTGATATGTATGTGTTATGTATGTATTGAGTAAGAATGGTATGGACCGGAAGGTTAGTATGGTATGGACCGGAAGGTCAGCAGTGTATGGGTCGGAAGGTCAATATGGTATGGACCGGAAGGTCGACGAAGTAGGACCGGAAGGTCTACTCAGATTGTGGGACCGGAAGGCCCCTAAGACACATTGACCGGAAGGTCTCGTAGAGCTACAGCCTCGAGTGGCTTATGTGCTGTATATAGTATTTTGGGGAACTCACTAAGCATTTATGCTTACCGTGTTATGTGATATGTGTTTCAGGTACTAGCGAGGATCGCGGGAAGGCGCCGGCGTGATCTGTACACACTGATAGAGGATTATGTATTTGAGATTCTGGGATGTGTTTTACCGTGATAACATTTGATACACTTGTGATTTGAGATGATTTAAATGAGAAATGTTATGTTTGAAAAATGAAAAATTGTTTTAAAATTTTACGTCGTTACACAAAGATCCCATGATTTGAACTATCACCCTCGAAGTCTCGAACAGTGCTCCCCGTCTCCCCACGACAATGAAAAATACACACAACAAATACTACTCGCATATGTATGTAGAACTAAACTTGCAGAATAAAATGTAGAAGGCTTCTACATTCGAATGAAGAAAACTAAAGTTGCAAAACAAAAGAAATAATACACCTACTTATAATTAAAATAAACATGCACAGGCATAATAAAAACATTCAAAGTCTTCCTTTTATTTAGCCACATACTTATCAACATCATCTCCCATAAACTCGGTCGAACTTGACCATTTCTCATTTGACGTGTAGCTTCTAAAACATATGTATAATCCTTTTATTCCAACATGACTCGATCCAACACTTCCGGATTGTTAACTGGATCCGACCCGTGACCCGTTAAACCAACCGATTAACCCAACAAAATTAATACATTGTTACTATAACAATATTTAACCAAGTACCTAGTAACATACCATGTAACTAGGGTTGTAAACGAACCAAACGAAAACGAATAAGCGTTTGTTCATGTTTATTTGTTGATGTTAGCCGAATGAAAGTATGAACACAAACGGATAAATGAATGGCTTTTCTTGTTAATGTTTGTTCGTTTAACAAATTGTCTTGTTCATATGTTCGTAAACATGTTAAACAAACATAAACGAAACGAGATAAACAAACAAAATTTAACATACACTAATATGCAATATAGTAATATAATAAAAACGAATAGAACATATATGAACGTAAATAAACTTAAATGAACGAACATTAACGAACTTAAAAGAACAACATAAACGAACGTTCACAAACATAAATGAATGAAACCATTGTTCATGTCCATTCATTAACTACACAAACATTCATTAACTACACAAACGATAAGTTGCGTTCATACCCGTTAATTTATTAAATAAACGAAGATAAACAAACTTCACACCGAACGGTCCACTGAACGTTCCGTTCGTTTACAGCTCCACAGGTTATGGGTAATCAACTGACTTCTCATATATGGGAGGTCAATGTTTAAGTATATAAGTCTTGGGGTTTCAACTAGGAGTTAAGAGTTTGTTAGGAGATGGCAATGACTTGAGTTTCATTTTGGAGTTCGAGCGTTGAAAGTTATGGTATGCGACATACTTCAGTGTCTTAACATATCGTCTAAATGACGAGTCATCTCCTCTAACCTTGCAAAGCAAAGCAGGGAGTCATAGTAGACGGTGGTAACCCATTTTTTTAAACTATAACAATATTAATACATTTTAACTATAACATTTTTGCTTTCAATGGATATTAATATTTATTACTATTGATATTTGCTTTATGAAAATTTCATTTTGACGGCTCAGAAGTAAAGCTTGGATTTCCCACATGCACATGAAAGATCTTAAGTTTAAACCTTATTAACAATAAATTCAAAAGTTAAAACATGTATATAATTTAAGTACTATATGATTAATATATGATTAATATGAAAACATGTATATAATAAATTCAAGAACATGTTAAATATATAATAAGTTCAGTAGCATGTAGAGTACGAGTTTTACGAACGGCAAATTCGTACTCTTTAATTAAATTTACTTATATTCTAAAGGCAACTTATTAACAATATCTGACAATGTTAGTTAGAGGCCCTATGATGTACTTATGGCATTAAGAGGAGCGTCATGACACATGTATTGTTCTTCATTTAAAACCATATATTCACCGTTAATAAACTTGTGAGAAGTTTATAAAAGAGTTTATAAGGCAGTCTCATATATTTAACTTATACTCCCTCAGTCCCAAAAATATTGTGCACAGACAAAAAACACACAGATTAAGGAAACATTAATTACCACTAACTTTATACAATAAAATGATAGTTTTGTCCTTACTTTGTATTTAATGTTCTATTAAATGCTTAGTTGATTAAGTAATAATGAGGGGATATTTTGGTAAAAATGTTCTTTATTTTTTGAAATGGACTATTATTTTGGGACAAACCAAAAAGGAAAGATGGACTATATTTTTGGGACGAAATGAGTACTTATTTATTTAGCTCTTGTATTTAAATTAAATTAAATTCTTTTATGTTAAAGTTAAAACCGGAAAAAAATAACAACACATTGTTATTTATCTTTTTGATCAATTATAAAATAAATAAATATTAATAATATATATCGACTATTATTGATGTTATTTTCAAATATTTGAAGAAGTCTTTTTAATAATATAAATCATTAGATACGATAGATATTTATTGCTGATATTGATTATATAACTTAAAATTGACTAAAACACAAAAATGCAACCAGAATCTTTTATAGAAATAAAATAAAAAAATGTAGAGTAACGTGCATGGGATCGATTGTAAGTGTGTACGTGTACGTAATTCGGATTGAAACGGGTGGACACAGCCTTATTGATTGCACATCCTAAAATTCAAAGTTGATGGACTTGTGAAAGCTTTGATTAATGGTAGCGGGTGAGGAAAATAATGTGGATAGAGATATCGACATAATGTGGATAGAGATATCGACATAGTGCTTCGATGCAGATGCAAAATGCAATGCGGATTGCTCTTTGCTGTTACCTCAGCTGTTGAAGGGTACGTATACTCCGGTAGTGAAGAGTCTCCATTCTCCAATTGTATCCAATTGCAAACAATCACCGTCGTTGACCCGAGAGAAAAATTAATTCGTTGACCGAAGTGAAATAATCGATGTTGGATGCTGATGGATAATATCCTCAGTACCACATAGTAATAAATTAAGCATCAAAATCTCAAAATTCATATTAATTTATCTTTATTCCTGTTGAATTATTGAAAAATGACTCCTCTCATCATCTTCACAATTCTATGTACTAATCTAATCAGTAACTATTTTTCAGCCACCGAACAACGTTGGGGACAACTCAACCGCACTTCCCAGCTTGTTTCTCCCAGTAACAACTTCACATTAGGGTTCTTCGACATTTCTGCCACAAACTACACATATTTAAGAATTTGGTACACCAACGATCAATCCATGAAAGTATGGGTAGCTAACCCATCCGCACCAATCAAATATTCCCGAATATATGTTTATGAATACTCCACTGATCACTACTAGAAACTTGAGTTTCAGCTACGGATTTAGAGAGGATTAAATCTGTAGCAAATTTTAGGCTTATAGAGAGGGAATTACGAGAGATCTGCGACGGTTTAAACAATTATTTTATTTATTCAACATTTAGCATATTAGAGAGTGTTTAGCGAGGGATCAACTACAGATCTCACAAATCGGTGGAAAACAAAGGCATTTGGCGAGGGTTCAACGAGGTAAAAAAATTGTCGACTTTTTGGCCATTTGGTACGTGTTTAGAGAGAGAATGCTGACGGAGCATACACACGTTATGTTTTTATAATTGGCGATCCCTCGCTGAAATTGACGCTCCGATTCCAGTTCCACGAAGTTTGTGTGAGTTTCCTTCCGTCCCAAATCTGATTTGTCACTCCAATTGAACACGCTCTCACCCAAATCTGAAATTGACGACACTCTCGAGTTGCAGCTTGCTTAACCTAATCTCACCCTCTCTGTTCAAACAGATGAAGACACCACAGACCATTGCAGCTTCCGAGACAGCCTCCACATTTTTAAAATCTAAAATTATTGTTCGTTAGCTTCCGATTCAGGTAAATCTCTTGATTTTATTTGCTTTAGTCATATATTAGGTTATGTTTGCACAATATATTACGTTAGGGTTTAATTTCTCCATTTTTTTTTCCTTTTTCAATCGTCATTCCTCTTATGGTTTGGTGGTGTTTGGTGTTTGGATGTCCTCCTTCTGGGTTCTGGCTTCATATCGAGTATTCTTCATGTGCATCTAATCTATTGTTAGATTAGGAGACTTGTGAGTTTATATTTTTTGCAAAACCTGTAAATCCATGTGTTTTCCATGGAAAGGCTATTGATTCTTACTGATCGATGAGTTCTACCTCTTACATGAATGCTCACCATAGTGTTCTGGTCTTTATCTGATTTTTCTTCCTGCCACCTTAAGAGCATCTGTTCTGTTGGTTGATTGTGCCCACAATGTGAAGCTTATATTTGTGTATATTATAACACTCTCCATATCAAAATCAGCAATGAACAAATGGATCTAGCTGCACAAGTAGGTGCAACATAATATTATTTGATTGCTGTTGAATTAGAGTTGTTGATGATATCTTTCAAAGTTAGCTTTTAGAAAAGGTAAATGCTAAAATCACCAGGGATTAAGTTGTGTGATTGTTGTGGATGAGAGCATTCTCATTAACACCATAAATTACTACACTGATTGATATTGTGTATTTTGACTTCAATGATAATTCATTTGGTAAAATGCAAAAGGGTTAAATGTAAGAAATAGCAAACTAATTTCATTAATCTGTTTATTATAGCATTGTAGTTTCATTTGTTCTCTATTAAAACATTTTAGTATTGTATTGATGTCTATATGAACAGTTGCATGAGGGTTTATATAGTCTTTATGACAATGAATGATTCTAAAATCTAAATGGGTGGTCTCTAATTGGTGGCCTATATGTGTGGAACACACAGTCCTTAATTTCCATGAAATTTGAACCTAAAACTAAAAGAAAAAATTAAAGATCAAGAGTTATAATAAACAACCCAGTCCCAAGTAAGATTGTTCAAAGACTTGAAAGTTTATGAACCCGAGAAAGTTATATTGAGTATACTTTCATGTATTTTTAAATTTAATACATGTAAGAAGCAAATTATCTGTCATATCATAATGAGCATCTCAATTAAGGCTTAATTGTGTATGTACATACAAGAAGCACAATATAACTTAATCATCTTAATAATTAAAACATCATTAAACTTTCACAATTTTTTACATCCAATACACGAGCAAAAATAAGTTTTTATATGATAATACTCATATCAGTTAAGAACTAGTTATAGACATACATATATGAAGCAGAATCTAAGTTTTGCTTTTCTCTTTTCTGACCATTTTACCCTTACACACCAATACATGGATCTTTGCTCTATTTTGGTAACATGATTTCAGAAAGATTCACATAGTTTGTGTAAGAAACTTACTTGAAGAGAAAGATCATAAGCCCCTCTGCGTTTTTTTTCTCCCTATGGTTTCATTTTGTTTTGGAATTATATGGTAAAATGACGAATTTGCCCTAAATTTTGTATTTTAATAGAAATTTGATAAGGGCCTAAGGGGGGATATGATGGTCATTATGCTTGTTATTTTGTTTTGGAATTATATGCTTAGGTCCATGGAATTTACATTTTGCCCTTACGATTTTTTATTAGAGCATATCTAATCTTGGTAAAATTATTGCATTTTCACAAATGAAAACATTTATAGTTTTCAATCATTACTGCATTTTCAAAAATTTAATCATTTATGCCATTGTACTTTTAGTTTTTAATTATTTTAATGTTTTGAAAATTTAAATGTATTTTTTTTCAATGCATTTTAATTTAAAAAATCTTCAAGTTTAATGCTCTAATTTAAAAAATCAACACATTTTTAGCATTGTACTTTTAGTTTCAATATGTTATTCAAAAAATCAATTTTTCTTTCATATCAATGACTTTTACTTTTAAAAATCAACCCATTTTAACATTGTACTTTTCAATCATTATTAGATATTAAAAAATTTAACCCTTCTCCCTACATAAACTTGACCAAATCCTCCTTTACCAAGTTTTCTTTCTAATTTATAAGGAGGAGAATTCCCAACTTGAACCTAAAACCCAAAATTATATTAAAAAAAAGTTTAAATATAAGTATATAACCTCTTAAAAGAGCCTAGTAAGATGACACGGTAGATGATGTTTTAACACAAATTTTAAACTTGAACCTAAAACCCAAAATTATATTAAAAAAAAAGTTTAAATATAAATACATAAAAACTTCTTACTTGTGTAGAAAGCATGGTCCTTATCTATGTTGAAAGTCCCTATGAAAGTTTAAATATAACATTTCCAAGAAGCAGTGATAGATCTACTTAACGGGTTAATCACTTAATCTGGAAAAGATAACTAAAAATGTAGTTGTTTCTTTTTAACTTAATCCGAACATATTGACTTAATGGGTTATTCCAAAAACTTAAGACATGACTCATATAGTATAACTGTAGTTCCTTAGAAAGAGAGACTGTAGTTCTAGATGGAAATATAGTCTTACTGGCCTCAGAAAGAGAGACTGTTTTTCCAGCTCATCGTCTTCATCAATATCTGCACCAGTACCCTGGCATTCAGGGCAAAATGCAGAATAAATTTGTTTTTTTTACTCCTCTTCGACTTTTTTAAATTTGGCTCCTTTTTTTCGCCTACTTTTCTTCTTTACTTCACGAGCAACTATCTGTTTTGTATAAACTTCAGACTCACACAGAAGGACCCAATGAATGAGGCACGAATATGAAACACGTGAAATGCCTGCATCATTGTTGTATAGTATTACATTAGATAACAAAAGATAGGCAAATGACACTTTAGGTCCTTGTAGTTTTAACTTTTCGGAATTATATTTTTAGTCCCTGTAGTTTTTAATTTGCATGAATTACATTTCTGGTCCCTGTAGCTTTAAATTTCAGGAATTACACTTTTGGTCACTATGAAAGTGGGAAATAAGCAAAAGATACTTTTGGTTCCTATAGTTTTATTTTTCCAGAATTATATTTTTGGTCCCTGAAGTTTTTAGTTTGCGGGAATTACATTTCTGGTCCTTGTAGATTACTTTTACAAAATTACATTTTTAGTCCCTGTAGTTTTTAATTTGCAAAAGTTAAATTTCTGGTCCCTGAAGTTTTAAATTTCTGGAATTACAATTTTGGTCACTATGAAAGAGGGAAATAAGCAAGACACTTTTTGGTCCCTATAGTTCTAGTTTTCCAGAATTATCTTTTTGGTCCATGAAGCTTTTAGTTTGCAGGAATTACAATTCTTCTCCCTGTAGTTTTAATTTTCCAAAATTACATTTTTAGTCCCTGTAGTTTTTGGAATATGATTGCATAGTTATAATAAAAATTAATTTAGCTGATATGTACATGCACACATAATTTTCAAATGCTCCAATAATCACAGATGGGTGTATACCAAGTTCTTTGAGTCAATCTTGAACACTGTTAATTTTAGTTAATTCCATTTTCTATTTGATTTTAGTTAATTTTAGATCTAAAATCAATCTTTAACTGCGATCATGAACACTTTTATGTTTTTCTGATATCCCAATTGTGGTGGAATTAGAAAAGGAATGGAAAGTTTCATTCCATTGGAATTAAGAAAATGGAATGGAATCTGATTCTTTCCATTTAGTTAATTTTCATTACTCAAGTTTCTGAAATTTAAAAATGTGGTAAAACCCATTTTCTTTATAAATATTTTAACGATTGAGGAATTTCATGATTTTTAATTAGATTAAAATCTTATTTTCTAAAAGTAACTAGATTTTTTTTGTTATTATGATTTTTTTTGGGTTTTGATGAGTTTTTATTATGATTTCATTTTTCTTTCTGAATTCTAACTATTAATAATTTCTGACACATGCTTACCAGGCAAGTCTTTCTCAAGAATCCTCCACTCATCCTGTATCTTTTTAGCTCAATTTTTTGGTGGCTGAAACAAAATCAATCACATTCATTAAACAAATACTAAAATACCCTTTAACCCTACAATTTCACAAGAAAAGTTTCAATTTCAACTCCAATTCCAATTCCTTCAATACCAACTCTTTAGACAGATTTCATTCCTTTCAAAAAACATTCTTTATCTTTGAACATTCTTGCAAATCGGACAATCCAGTCCTCTACACATGTTGTTACTTTCTCTACTTCCTTGATTTGTGAGATTTCTGAGATTTGTGACATTTGTCCAATGTTTCCGTTCTCTGAAACACTACATTTTAAGCTATTGGTGTTGTGGAATCCATCATTTGTGAATCCTTCGTAAGATGGCTCTTTATTTGGACTAACTTTTACTAAGAGCCTTGAGGATCACTTGAAGCTTCAGCTAGCCTCAATTCGGATGTAGTTGTGATAGTAATAAAATCACCTTCTTGATCTTTGTATTTTATAAGAACACCTTCTAAACCAGGAAAACGATCCCACACTGTCCCCTTACCAAACCAATGCTGCAATCAGTAGGTAATTGTGCTGACCTTATGTCATCTCCAAGCACCAATCTCACTCTACTTGTGGCAACTATTTCTTCTTTTATACCATTTTTACCCTCAACCTTCTTCTCTTCAACCTGATTGGCCCTCTTGTCCCTAACTCTCTTAGCCTTGTTCTTTCTGGTCCTTGGCATCTTCACCTTTAATTTCCTTAGATTCTTCACTCTTGCTTTCTGTAACTTCTTCAATCTTGCTTTTATTGCCATTTTCAACATTTACCTCCACAATACAATAAGCACAATGAATATACTTTGAAATGTTAATGACATCATTTTTTTATTAATAGAGTATATAACATAGTCACTTGTGTAAACATATTGAAGCTCTATCTTATTCTTTGTTATATGTCTATCACTTAGAATTTATTTGATTACTTTCTCTCCCTTCCCATTCTTGTTTATTCCAAAGGATTTATTGTCATCCACTTCTTCTTACTTGGTTGTAGCTAGTCATTATCTAAGTTCTGAATAGTATTTATATATTTGGTTGTAGCTAGTCATTATGTCAACACGTAGTGATAGAGACTGGATGTACAAAAGGTTAGATCATGGGTATCTTAGCACAACATATCATGCATCCGTCAAAGGATTTCTGGATGTTGCTTTTTCTAATGAAGCAACACGTAGTGATAGAGACTGATGTTCTTGCTCGCAAAGTATGGGAAGACTGTATGAAGAAACGATTTCCTGACACAATGCGAAGAGCACGCGAAGAATCTTTATAACTTGCCCAAGCTGTAAATGTGGATGCCTCACTAGAAGGTGATTTAAATTTGCTAAAGGACTATCGCCCAAATTGGATAAAAAAAGGAGTATTGGGAAAAAATGATCAATGAAGTGTGGACCACATCCAAATGGAAACGTTTATCACAATCAGGGAAAAATAACAGAAATAAATTAGAAGATGGCTCTGTTTCCAAACATACTGGGGGTTCTATATCTATTCGTCAACATAAGAAAAGAATGGTAAGATGTTTGCATCTCACCTTAGTTTCCACTTAGACTATTGATTTTTTGTTTTGTTTTTTATGTATTACTAATGGATTTTGTAGCAAGAAACACTTAAATGCCTTCCTACAGGAGTTGAACTTTATGCAAGGTTGCACACTAAACAGTCTACTCAAGAGTACATTACACCAAAGGAAGCTAAAGTTCAGGTATTTTCAATTCTTTTATAGGAAACAAAACTTCCTACTACTAGGGTTAATGACATTGTTAAAGCAACAAATTGACAGAAAGCAAATCTTTCGTAAGTAGTAATCAACTTACAAAAGAAAAGAAACAAATTATCATCTCTAAATGTTTGTTCATCTGCCCAGTTGTAATTAAGTGTTTTGTAAGTAGTAATCAACTTTATGCAAGGTTTGAGTATTAATTAATAAGAGGCTTATGAAGTGGTTCATTCCATTCCTTGATTATGATTTTAAGGGAATGGAATGAACCATTCCATTCCTTATTTCATGTTTCTGTTTTTTCATATTTTTTTTGCTATAATAAGAGGCTTATGAAAGTGCTATGGTGGCTAAGTTTGGTGATGATACTAGTTGCCACCCCCTCTTGGATAATGAAACATGGTGTGATGTTTCCGGAGGAGTCAAGAAAGGAAGAATATATGGATTCGGATCTGTGTCTGATCCAGCGAGCTTTTTGGAAGGAACATCTAGTACAATAACATCCCAAGAGGTTCGTTTAATTTTGTACTTTATAAAATTTCCTATCATGGCATTGTACTTACAAAGTTTCCTATCATGGTATTGTACTTACAAAGTTTCCTATCATGACATTGTACTTACAAAGTTTCCTATCATAGCATTGTACTTACAAAATTTCATATCATGGCATTGTACTTTAGGTTGTCTATGAACGTGTAACGAGATGCATGGGGAAATGAATGCTAAAGATGCAGAAATGGAAGCTAAACATCAACAAATGCGTGAGGAAATGGATGCCAAAGCTGCAACAATAGATGCCAAACAACAAATTGATGCAAAATATGAAGCAATGGAGAAGATGTATGCAGCCTTGCAAAATATGATGGGAAATTGAAAATTAGAGGTAATATGATGTTAACCATTAGTATTTGATGTTTTTGAATGACTTGTTAACCTTTTGTATTTGATTTTTTTATTGTTTTGAATAATGTTTTATAGGAATGAGAACCGAAGATGATTGGATGAACATGAAATGAAGAGAGCAGCTAAAATGTTATTTTGAAGTTATGTTTTGTGAAAACTCATTTCCCGATGCTTATTTTGAAGGTTAAACTTTTTTCTGTTTGTACCTCTTTTGCATATTTTGGATTTCTTGGTGTTAAAATGTTCTCAACCGTTGGGAGTTTGATGTTATGTGGACAGTTTTGTTTTTGGATGTTTTTTGAATGATATTTTGGTAAACTTTGATAGTTATGGTATTGTAATGTTTTGTTGTATCATTATTTGATGTTTTTTAGTATAATAATTTGATGATTGTAGTATTTTTTTTTTCTTTTAGAATCATAATAAAACAAATTATATTACAAGTTCGCGACGGATTGGCGACAAAAAAAAAATTTAATGCATGAATATTGCGAGGGATTAGCTACGGAAAAAAAAATCATGTCTAAAGTTTGTGACGGATCATCGACGGAACAAAAGAAAATTAATGTATGAATTTTGCAAGGGATTAGCTATGGAAAAAAATCATGTCTAAGGTTTTCGACAGATCAGCGACGGAAAAAAAAATTAGTATATGAATTTTGCAAGGGATTAGCTACGGAAAAAAAACTGATCACTGAAATTTGCGACAGAACAGTGACGGAATGACTTTAACAAATTTTGTCGCTAATGCCCTGAGTAAATGTATTGAGTGACATTTAGCGACGGATATTCTGTCGCTACATTTGTCGCAAGGAAAAACTGATCCGTCGCTAAAACCCTCGCTGAGAAATTAGCCACGTTTTAATTACCTATGGAGTGAATCCGTCGCTGATCCATCGCAAACAGCCTTTAGCGACGGAATAGCAACGGATTCTTCCGTCTCTAAAACCCATGTTTCTAGTAGTAACTTCTACCATTATAATCTTAGTTATGTATACAATAATGACGAAAGATACTTCAGTTACCATGGCATGAATCATGTTCAACCCATGTGGATTTTGACTCCACGTAGCCATTTATCTTCTTGAATGAAGAGACCTGTTATGGCTATGAGACGGATAGCGGGTGTGTGGCAGGTTCTCATACATATTGTAGGAGAGAGAATGATAAATTTCATTTAAAGAGTGGAGGGTATGTTTCTGCGTTGGTGCATGACTCGGATGCTGCTAACTTAAGCCTAGGTTTTAGTGATTGTATGATGATGTGATGGAATAACTGCAACTCTCTGGCTTTTAGGACATATGCTACCGGAACTAACTGTCTTACATGGACCGGACCCAAGTCAACCAAGTTTATAATAAATGAGGAAGGGAATGGAGAGAGAATATATGTGTTGGTTTCTCCACATCCGAGTAAAGGTAATAATCGTGATTAATTATTTTTATTGGTTATTATTTATTTAGTTGATTGCTTTAATCCTCCATATAGATACCGCACACATTTGGGCACCTATTGTTGCTGGGATTTTTTTACTTTCCCTTTGCTTTGGCCTATTATGGTATCTGAAGAAGAGAATTAATATATGTGTTGGTTTCATCTGCCTATGTTGTTTATAGTCATCTTCCTTTCTAATCCATGATTTTTATTGAAGAGGAGGAGAGACAAACAAGAGACGACGAATATTTCCTTGGGCTGATGGCTTCAGATAGCTTCAATGATGCAAGTAATCTCGAAAGTAGGAGCAGAAAAATAAGTGACATGATGGTGTTCAGCTATGCTTCTATAGTAGCAAGCACAAATGACTTTTCAAGTGAGAATAAACTTGGAGAGGGTGGTTTCGAACCTGTTTATAAGGTACTTAATTTGATCTTTGATATTGGTTATCTTTCCAAAGTTCTACAATCTGACAAAAAGAGATATTGTGTGTTTATGGGAAAAAGGGGAAACTTAGCGATGGACGAGATATTGCAATTAAAAGGCTTTCATGAGGATCCAGACAAGGGCTTGTGGAATTCAAGAATGAACTCATACTTATTACCAAACTACAACATACAAATCTTGTTCGAGTTCTAGGTTGTTGTATTTGTGGAGAAGAAAAAATGTTAATATATGAGTGAGTACATGCCCAACAAGAGTTGGATTTTGTTCTCTTTGGTAAGGAAAATTATTAAACTAAATGTATATGATGCTTTGAATTTAACAGAAGTTTGGTTTATCTGAATTGCTAAAATACTTGAATAGATGAAGCAAGAAAGACACTCCTAGACAGGACGAAAAGATGGAACATCATTGAACAAATTCCTCAGGGCTTGCTTTATCTACATAAATACTCAAGAATGCGAGTTATTCATTGAAATCTAAGAGCAAGTAATGTTTTGTTAGATGAAAGTATGAACCCCACGATTTCTGATTTCGGTATGGCGAGAATTTTCAAACAATATGAGACTGAAGCAATGACAAACAGGGTGGTGGAACATAGTAAGAACATTTTTTCTCTTTCAATTGACTATGTTGGAGCCAATGTGGGATTAGCCCACTTGGTAGAGGCTTTGTCTCTTAGATTGGAGGTTCTGAGTTCTAATCCGGACGTTGACGGATTCTACGAATTTAGTGATACTAACTTCTAACCACTATCCAACTATTTAAAACAAAAAAATAATAATAATAATAAATTGTCTATGTTTGATATTTGTCAAATAATCAAACTGTTAACTTACATTGTAGCATACAACATTATTCATTAAAAAAAAAAAGTCTATTTTGGATATTTGTCAAATAATCAAACTGTTTACTTACATTGTAGCATGCAACATTATTTTTCTTAAGCTTTCAAAATATATGAATAATGTAATTAGATGGGATTGTTGAGACATCGTATAGTTATATACGATTTCCAGGTGTGGTTCTAGCTTGAATTACTAAATCTATGTGAAACAACTTATGCAGTGGTTACATGGCTCCTGAGTGCGCAATGGAAGGGACTTTCTCTGTGAAGTCTGATGTCTTCAGCTTTGGAGTCCTAACCCTGGAAATTGTGAGTGGAAGGAGAAATACTAGCTTCTCTTATCATGACAAAACTGTCAACCTAATTAGATATGTAAGTTTTGTTAAAATCTGAACGTTTACTTGAAAAATAATCCATTTAACGTAAAAAGTCAAAAAGTACATCTAATGATTTAAGACATTACAATGGTTTTAGGCATGGGAGCTATGGCTAGAAGGGAATGCAATGGAGCTGGAGTTTTATGTAGTATGAAATGACCAAATCAATGAGTTTTTAGCAGCACTTAAACATGTTTTTATCGATGACTATAATGATTGGTTATGTAGCATGTTTATATTAATATAATTTGTTCATCAATGCATAACTTTTGTTTTGTTTTGAATGTGTGCTTTGGATGCAAGTATCAGTTTGTGCTTTTTATTAACTGGTTTCTTTATATTATGGTTATTTGAATAAATTTGTTGCCAATTTAATTCTTATAACCATGTTTGGTTTTACTTAACCTGGTTTCTGTAGTTATATGCCCGGTGCTGTGGTTATATATATATATATATATATATATATATATATATATATATATATATATATATATATATATATATATATATTTGCAAGGCTGAAAAGACCCGGTTATTTGAATGGAACCGGTCCATATTTAATCCTTATATGACCCGGTTTGGGGATTGGAACCGGGCTCTTGAATGGCTGTTTAGTAAACAAGATGACAGTTACAACCATGGAAGCTCGGTAGCATGTCATAGTTGTTGTTCAAATGCAATATTATCACTGAAACTTATTTAATCTATCTATAATTGTAGACAAATGATTAAAATAAGCACTTGGATTTTTGCTTTGGTGCTTTTGCTTGTGGGCTGGTGACCAAACTTCTGTTCATCTTAATGTTGGGCATGGGTTCAACCAGGATCCTTCATGGTTACAGACTTACAGTTGCTTTTTGCGGATTCTTGAACACTGACAGTTAGAGTGTCAACATCAAAAGAGGTACATCTTGGTTTGATATTTTTTGGGTAACTTTTACGCTTATGTTATTTAGTCTTCCAACTTTATAACTGCAATCGAGCTTTTTATATAGCAATGAATTCCTAAGAACTATGATCGTCTCTTTCTTGGCAACTGAGACTGTATAAAGTTACAAGTTTAGCATTTGGTTTTTAATGTTTCGTCGTGTCAAGAAGTGAAGAATCCTCATTGTCTTATTTGTCCCAGCCTCTCATATATTTCATCTAAACTTGAATCTGTACAATTTCTTTTGCATTTGTGATTGTGTTTGATTAATTTACAATCACAATTAGGCATTTGATTTTACAAATTCTTTTTGAAGGAATGGAATAGTCAAAGGAATTGCATTTCAAAAGCATAGGAATGAATTTGTATTGCATGGAGTAGAATGCAATTCAAATTCATTCTTTTATAATATTGTTGTGGTTTCTTGTTCAATTTGAAAACGAATAACATCCCATGGGCTTTGTTGAGGAATGACACATTTGTTCAAATTATGAAACATAGATGCTATTTGGTCGATTGGAATTAAATTGCATCTTACCAAATTCTGTTGACTTCCACAAGAATAATTTAGGCCAACTTTTCATTATAAATAGATCTCCTTGTAGCTCTATAACCTTATGCCGAAAGCGAGTATCACGCCAATGAGGAAAAATGAAGCTACGCAATTCAACAAAACAAAAGCAAAACAACCATTTGAACACATAAATATGAAATTGACCCACAACTTTAGCCTTTAAAACAATCACAATACAGATAAGTCAATATTAATTCAAGCATACACATGGAACTTAGTAACTGCATTTTAATGAAGCAACCTAGAAACAAAATAAATCAATCACAATTCAGCAATGTGTAGTTCAAACAGCTAAAATTAGCAAAAGAAAACTAGGTTCATGCATGTTCGACCTCAAATCAAGTGAGTTTTAAGCTATTAGTTTTCA